TGCCGACGGGAAGGGGGCGAAAGCGCCGGGGAGACGGGGAGCGGCTCCCGTCTTTGCTGGTGAAAGGGAGTCTTTTGTGGCCGATTTTTATTTTAAACCTCCTTTTCCTCAACCGTGGGGAAAAGAGCCAAGGAGTCTCTCAGCCTCCTCCTGCCCTGCTGAATTGCCGAGGGTTGGGGAGGGGGAGCAGGGAAGGCTGAGTCCTTCTGCGGGAGAGCCCTGGGGAGCAACGCTGCGTGTCAGCCATTCCCCTGGGAAAAGCCTCAGGGAATGTCACCCTTGGCGCCAGTCTTGGAGTGCGCGAGGGAGCCCCATCCCTCTTGCGTCCATCTGGGGACGCTGGCTCTGGAGGCAGCCGCAGCTCCTCAGACGTGGTGCCACCTTGCCGGGGTGGCCTCGCCAATGGGCGATCCTGGCTCTGAGGTGCCGTCACAGGTGAAATCCAGGGACTGAAATCAAATTTCCTCTGCACGGCGCCAGCAAAATACAAAATAAGCATCAGTAAAAAGAAAGTAGAAGACAAAGCAAGACGGCGGTGAGTCTTGCTGTGATGCTACAGGCATCTTGGGCCTGGGTTGGGGATGTCTCTCCTGCCCAGCTTGAGAGCCTCAAACCCCATTGGCTGCCATGGCCGCAGCAGGATTCCCAGTAGAGCACAACACAATTCCTGGGATACAGGTACACTCCTTGGAAAGCAGTGTGCCCAGCAGTAGCCTGAGGTTCGGGTGATGCAGGAGTCAAGACTGGCAGAGCCCGGCTGTAACCATGGCCGCAGCAGGATTCCCAGTAGAGCACAACACAATTCCTGGGATACAGGTACACTCCTTGGAAAGCAGTGTGCCCAGCAGTAGCCTGAGGTTCGGGTGATGCAGGAGTCAAGACTGGCAGAGCCCGGCTGTAAACACCGGTCCAAGGTTGGGAGGTTCCCTTCTCCTGCCCTCGTCCCAGGTGAGAGGTGACTTCCCACCCAGCTGGTGGGCCCCTGCAGTGCAGTGCAGCCAAGAGGCAAACTTAGCTTCTACGTTCAATCTCCCTGAGGTTAAGGCAGCAATCTGCACTCTGTCCTTTGCTGTATAAGAAAAGAAGGCAGCCAAAAAATCTCCCATTTGCCCTGTTCTTGCTCACAAGCCGGGGGGGCTGAGCACCTGCGTCAGTAGGGACACTAGCAGGGTGGATCCGAGCAGGGGAGTTGGAGGAGAGGGCACGAGCCAGGCTCTCAGCTCTCTCTTCCCATGTGTTTTATCTGACCCTGTCGCCAAACGTGGCCCAGAAGGAGGAAGGGGCAGCCCAGGCGGCTCCGTTGCCAAGAGGTGCGTGCCGATTTATGTACGTGTGTGGATGCTGATCTGCTGGGCCGCTGGTCCTCGGGGCTGGCGTTCTGCCGCACGCACGTGAAGGCTGTGCCGTGTGTGCGGAAGCGCGTTTGATGTTGAGCTGCCTGTTGAAGCAGCAGCCGCACGCCGTGCAGGAGAGCTTGCTGTCGCCGCGGGCTGTGGGGCCCCGGCTCCTCTGCCGCACCCGCTCCCTTCTTCTTGTGGGTGATGAAGCGGTGGCGGCTGAGGGAGACCTGTGAGGTGAAGCAGAGGCCGCACTCACGGCGCTGGTGGGAGCGCTTATCTGTCCGGTGCTGCGGGATGTGCACCTAGAAGTCAGCCGAGCTGCTGGCGACAGAGCCGCACCTGCGGCAGTGGAAAGGGACCTTGCGGTCGCCCTTGGGCATCTTCGACAGTGGGCTGGTGCTGTCGGGCTCCTTGTTGCATGAGTTGCCCTCGTCAGAGGACAGCTTCCACTTACAGCTGGATGCCTCTGGAAAAGATTGGAAAAAGCTGAATCCCAGCAGCTCCTGGCATGCCGGCATGGCAGAACCCCAGACTGCTCTGGAGCTTCCCAACATGCTCCTGAAGATGTTTTTTACTCTGAGAAAAGGCTGAACGGGGCAACTTCCCTGGTCCCCTGGGGCTGCCGATGTCCCTTGTGTTAGACCCTTTGCTCCTTGCGGCCTGGGGACAGCACTGGGGCCACCCTGAGAAAACGCAAGTTTTGTATCTTTGTCCAGCTCACAGCCACATTGATCCAGCCAAACTGGACTGATCAAGCAAGACTGATCATGCCCAACTGCCCTGGAAGAGCTCAGCAAGGCATGCTGGACAGAGTCCGTTTTCATTCAGCACGAGGGAGCCATCGGTTCCAGACACTGCAGCGTAGATGCAGGCAACAGTAAACCCGGATTAGGGCTCATGGAGACGCCTTCCCAGTGAGCACCCCAAGCACCTGTGAGGCTTGTACCTGCATGGTGCCTGTCCCTAACCGGGGGATAATGACCTCCTGTCTCTTCATCTGGTCGGTCACCTTGATCTTGTGCTGCACCTGGATGTGTTTCTTCAGGATAAGCCGGATGCTGAAGATCGGCTTGCCTTCTGTGCAGTACCTGCAGTGCCCAAGTGGCAAGGCAGTGAAGCAACACTCAGCAAGGACACTCTGGCATCCTAACCCCTAAATCCCAGTGCTCATGTGTCCTTCCCTACAGATATAAAGCCCTTCTTCCCACTGCCTCCCTTCTCTCCTGTTCTAAAGTTAAATCCCTCCTTGCAGACAGGACCCAGGTATTCTGCCCTCCCTGTTGGACTTCAACCATCCACAGCTTTACCCCTAGCAGCTTGATGGAGGGCAAGCAAAGTCACTCCTAAAAAACAAGCCTCCCTTTTCCCAGGCAAACCCCAGAGGTGGCACAGGTAACAGGAGGGATAGATGCTCTTGATCCCTTCATGATTCACTTGCACATGTCTTCAGAGGCTGGGAATGAAGCAGAACGAATCACACAATCGGCACGGGAACTTCTTCACTGACTGCAAGAAAGAGGCCGGTGGGTACTGAGCAAGCAGCCAAGAATGCAGGGGATGGGAGCGATCCTGGCAGAGCGCAGTGATCCCGGCGCAGGAGCCCCTGGGACTATGCAGGAGGGCCAGGATCGGCCCCAGAACCGGGGTGGGAGGGCGAGGTGGGGCTTGCGCTGGGCATGTGGGACCGCCCCGGCCTGGCCCAATTACGGGGCACTAATTACAGCTGTGCTGGGATAATTGCAGCGTGCGCTGCAGAGGGTAGGGCGCAGCCCCTCGTTGACCTGTGTCACCAGCAGGATTCAGCTCTGTGGGTACCCACTGGGGCCAGGCACAGCCCGCGGCAGCAGTCTCTGGCATGGCCATCCTGGTGGCCCTTCCTTTAGTGCCTGATGCCTCCCAGTTTCCTTCTCCTCCCTTAACACCCGTCCGCGGCTGGCCCTGCCGCACTGCAGTCCCTCCGTGCTGGCTGGCTGCACAGGCAGGCGCGAGGCCTGAGCCGCCCCTGAGGTCCTGCCACCGGGCTCAGCCGGGTGAGTCGTGTGGGGTGCGGGAGTGAAGTCTGCAGGTGGGAGGGCCGGGGCTGGCGCAGAGGAAGGAGCTCTGTGGCGACACGGGACTCTGCCTGCTGGGCTCAGCTCCTGTCAGTCCCCTTTTGTCTGCCGTGTGTGCATCCCTGTTTGTCTGCTGTTGGCACCATCTGCTCCAGCATGGCCATGGGCAAGATCTGGGGGGTGCTTGGCCCCTTGCTCCATGTTCCAGTGAGGTGTCCAGGGTTCCTGGCTGGAGCATCTGCCCAGCTCCCTCTCCAAGCCCCAGTGGCTCCAGGGCCCCGGGTCCTCACAGCAGGAGAGCAGCCGCCTCGAGGACCGGGTGCACTCGCTTTGCAGTGAGCTCATAATTAACTCATTGATTTTTCCATGAGAGAGACAGGGGCTGTTCCCAGCACCCGCAGGATGGGGTGGCTGTTGTGATCGATAGCTGCTCCGCACCTTACGTAACCCATTGACTCAGCCGCACAGGCACCCTGCTGCAGCTGGGCATCGTCAGCAGCAGCAGAGCACCAGGGCCAGCCTGCTTCCCAGCTCTGTGCCCCTGCTCCTGCCTGGCACAACAATGCGGCGCCTGTCCCAGCAGCGCCAAGCTGCCTTCAGCCCTGTCAATCCCTTGTGTCCCAGGATTTCCTCCTTTGCTCATTTCTCCGGCTGCGGCTGGCAGTGGCCCTAGGGCGGGCACGTCCCCGCAGCGGTCCGGCACATCTTGCCGCACTGCCCCACCGCCTGGCGGCCCCAGGCTTGCTGGCCACGCCACCCACTGCCGTCTCGTGAGTCACGGCAGTTCTGTGGGAGAAGAACGTGCTTCTGAGAGCAGGGCTGAGACTGCAGGGAACCTGCTTGCAGGAAGGTCGGATCACCAGGAATCTCCTGGGCCGGGTGACATGAGCCCAGTGTGAACCCTGGTGCCTCCATGCACCCTGCTCCTGGCACTGCGTAGCTGCCTGCCGCCCAAGGGCACTCCACAGTGTGTTGTGTCTGTTGAGGGACAGTTTCATGTCTCCACTCTGCTTGCAGAGCCACCACCGCTGCCTGCCCCCAGTTGTCGCCGTATGTCCCGGCTGTGCCTGGCACCCAGGGCTGCACCAGCACCATTCCGTGCCACTTGTGGTGACTAAGGCTCATGTGGCCAGCAGGAGGGTGGCGCTGGGGATGGCCAGGGCCTCTAGCTGCCGCACTGGGGCTCGGGGACAGGAAATCGATGTGTCTTGGGGGTGAGCTGAATTGGTATAACTGAACAGGGCTGAGCACAGGCCGCAGCAGCATTCAGTGCCAGGGCTGCCAGCAGCAAGGACAGCGGGTGAGTGGGGAGGGCAGGGAGCATCTCCACTGGCACTGGGACTTTCCCGGTGACTGGAGCATCTTAATATGCTGGGAGCGGGAAGAGTGGGTGCAAGCGAGGAAGCCGAAGTGGGAGAAGAAGCTGCAGAGAGGGTGAGCTCAGGGCTATGGGGTGGTGTGGGCAGGAAGAGGCAGACACTGGGTCACGGAGCATCATTTGGAGGAAGGAGATACGGGGCACAGTGCGGGGCCGAGCATCCTGCAGCCGAGTGCTCCCACCGCTGA